TCGATCGCGTTAGTTTGCTAATATAAGGTGAAAGTGCATGTTTTTTCCCTCGCTGACGTGCAGATCAAGGGCAGCAGTTTGGAAGGTGTCCAAGCCTGGACATTGCAACCTGCAAGCCCTGGTGCCCAAACTGCAAAGGGCCGTTTGACCCTTGCTGCGTAGAGGCAGTTTCCTCCTTTGCAGTCATCTCAGACAGTGCAGCCTCCCAACGAGTCCCCGGGCATAAAGGCACCGCGGCCCGGCCGGGGCTGAGCCAGGGGCAAACCGGGAAATCCCTCTGTGTCCCGGGGCTGGGCCCTGCTCCTGGTGCTCTGCATTGCTGGGCTTTGCCAAGGGCCCGCGGTCCTGCCCGTGGAGTCACCCACAGCACCCAGGCGCTGGGCACCCCTGCTCCCTCTGCACTGGAGCTCCCCGGCTCCAGATGCTCCATGCCGGGATGCTCCGGGATAAGGGTTACGTGGGCTGGGGATGCCCTGTGTTAAGATGCTCCTGCTCTGCTCTGTGCCAGGCTGTTCTGTGCCAGGCTGCTCCATTCATGGCTGCTCCATGTGGCGCTGCCCATGCTGGGGTGCTCGGGGCCGGGGTGCTCGGAGCAGGCAGCGGTTCCCGGCCGCCTGCGGCTGCTTTAAAGGGGAGGGCCGGAAGCAGGAGCCGGCCCCGGGCCCGGCGGGGCCATAAAGCCGCCCCCGGGCGGGCCGAGGCCGTCGCGGCCAGGTCGGACCCGCCGGCCCCGCCATGGGCTCCCTGGGGCGCTGCCTGGCCCGGAGCCTGTTCCGGGGGCAGCCGGGCCCGCGCCGCCCCACCGGGCTGCCCCTCCGCCACGGCTCCGGTGAGACCCGGCGCTGCCGGACAGCCCTTCCTGAGCGCTGTCCCCATCCTACCCAACGGCTGCCGCTGTCCCCATCCTATCCCTATGGAACCTGCTGTCCCATTCTCTCCCTGAGCGCTGCCGCTGTCCCCATCCTACCCCTACGGAACCTGCTGTCCCCATCCTACCCCTATGGAACCTGCTGTCCCCATCCCCTCCCTGAGCAGTGCCCGCTGTCCCTGTCCTACCCAACTGCTGCCGTTATCCCCGTCCCCTCCGTAAGCAGTGCTGCTGTCCCCATCCTCTCTCCCAGTGCTGCCCACTGTCCCTGTGCTGCATGGCGATGCCTGCTCTCCCTGTCCTGACCAAGCAGTGCCCGCTGTCCCCATCCTCTCGCTGAGCAGTGCCTGCTCTCCCTGTTCTCCCTTAGTGGCACCTGCTCTTCTCCATCCTTCCCCAAGTGCCGTCCCTGACCCCCCAAGTTGTCCCCATGGTCCTGTGCCCGGCAGCGCTCACTGTCCCCTGTCCTGCCCCCGTGTCGGGGGCACCCCCTGGCCCTGGGGGCAGCGTGCGGGGCTCGCAGGGCACTTTGTGGGGGACTGTGCCGGGGGCTCCTGCGTCCCCCATGTGCCAGGATGGGGCAGAGAGCAGGGGCTTGTGGCTGCCCCGGCGCCCCTCGATGAGTCCAAAGGCACTTGGTGTCCCCGCGGCCCAAGGGGGCTGCATCCCAGGAGGCGGATGGAGGGAATCCCTAGGGAAGCTGGGCTGTATCCCGCAAGGGTCGGTGAGGCAGGGGGTGAAGGGGGCGGTGAGGACAGGCGCTGGGTGCTGTGAGCCTGGCTGGGGCACCGACGCTGCTCTTGCTCCTGTGCCCCTCGCCCGCTCCAGAGGCGATTCCCGCAGCCGGGACGCAGCAAGGCAGGGATCTCTCTCCCTGTCCTGTGCCTCCCAGCACCCACTTTTGGGGTGAGATATTGGTTCCAGCCCAGGGCTGGAAATCACATCGGGAAGCCGAGACTAACAGTAAACTGCTCGTGCTTAAAATAACCTCTCTGCCGCTCTCTCTTTCTCTGTCCCCTGCGGCCCCGCGATGGACGGGGCCATCCCTGTGCACTGCTCCCGTGGGAAGCCTCTGCCTCCCTCCCTCCCTGCCCGCGTCCCCTCCCGCTGGCTCCGCTCCCCAGTTCCTGCTGCAGGTGCCGGCGGGGCCGGGGGCTGCAGGGCCCGCTGAGGGAGGTGCTGGTCCTGCCGCCCCCGGCTGCAGGGCGGTACCGGCCGCGGTGCCGTGGGCTGCCTGCGGCCCGGAGCACCCCGGGGCAGCGGAACCTGCTGCCCGGCAGCTGCCGGGAGCCCTTCTGCACCCACGGAGCCGAGACGCGGGAGCTGCTCCCTGCGGGGTTGTGCCCAGGACCTGGGCTCCCGTGGGGCAGGCGGGAGCTGCTTGTGGAGCCCGCTCTGCGGTCCTGGAAACCCGCGCGCTCTTGTCCCGCTCTGCGTTCCCAGCGGCCGTTTCCCCGTTGCGGACGCGTCCTCCCGCGCGTCCCCGGGCCGAGCTGTGTCTGTGACGCTGGGTCCGCCCGCTCGCGCAGCCCAGGTCCCTGCCCTGGATGCTGGCGGGTGCCCAGCGGGAGGCTCCTGGCTTGGCTGGCCCCGGGGTCCCCAGGGAGCTGGGGATGTCCCACCAGGCCCGATGGCGCCAGGAGGTGGAGGGGGCACCTTGTCCCTCCCCAGAGCTCGGCTTTGCTGCTGCAGTTCTCGGGGTGTCCTTGGCCTCCGGTACGTGCCCAGCCACAGCGGCACTGCACCAGGGCTGCCATCAGGTGTGCAGTGCATGGTCCGGTTAGTGACACAGCCCCGGTGTCACCCTGGGCTGCTACGTGGGGCCTGGCGTGAGGAGCAGCTCACACGGAGGCCGATGCACCCACATCCTCCCCATCCCCTGCCTCCCGCTGCCGCGCAGGGCTGTTTCACAGGGGGACAGGGGACAGCGGTGCCCCCAGCACCGGCCTGATGTCAGTGCCAGCACCGTCACCTTCCAGCTTTGTGCGACCAGGCGCCCTGGGGCCGCCAGTCCCTAACCACCGGCACTAGGCACCCACTCCCTGGTGTGGAAGAGTGTGGTTGACCTTGTGCCCTGCCACCCCTGCCGGCAGGGAGCACTGAGCTGCAGGAGCAGACGCTGGTGCTGGTGAAGCCCGACGCGGTGCAGCGGCGCCTCGTCGGGGACGTCATCCAGCGCTTCGAGAGGCGCGGCTTCAAGCTGGTGGCCATGAAGCTGCTCCAGGTACCTGCTCCCCACGCAGCCGCGGTGGCCCCGCGTTGTGTCCACCGTGCTCCCCATGGAGGTGTCCCACAGGTGGCCTCTCGCTGCCTGCCTTGGGGTCTCCCTCTGCCCCACAGCCTGGGCAAGGGGCAGGCGCTGGCGGCAGGAGGGTGCCGCGATGGCCCCTGAGCCGCCCCTCGCCCCCAGGCCAACCAGGGCATCCTGGACAAGCACTACCAGCAGCTGTGCCAGAAGCCCTTCTACCCCGCGCTGCTGGCCTACATGATGTCTGGGCCGCTCGTGGCCATGGTGAGGTGCCACGGGGCACTCCTGGGTCAGGCGGGAGCCCCCAGCCGTGCGCTGGGGTGACGCGGCCGCCACGGGCGCCGTCGGTGCCCGCCATGGCGCTCACGCAGCCCGCGGCCCGCAGGTGTGGGAAGGCTACAACGTGGTGAGGTCCACGCGCGCCATGGTGGGCGACACCAACTCGGCCGACGCGAAGCCGGGCACCATCCGCGGCGACCTCAGCATGCACGTGAGCAGGTAGGGGCGGCGCGGTGTCCCCCCGCGGCACGGCACGGCACGGCCACCCGCGCCCACCGCCGCCGGCCCGCGCAGGAACGTGGTCCACGCCAGCGACTCGGTGGAGACGGCGCACAAGGAGATCGGCTTCTGGTTCCAGCGCGACGAGCTGGTGGCCTGGGAGAGCAGCGACCGGGACTTCACCTACGGGCCCTAGCGCGGCCGCCACGTCCCCCCTGATATTAAAGTGGCCTTCCCCAGGCCTGGCTTCGCTCTCTGTCCATGGGCAGCGGCCATGGGGTGTACGTGGGGGTCAGGGCAGCCCAGAGGGGCTGTTGGAGCCATCGGGAGCTTCCTTGGGGCGTCAGGGGCTCTGTGATGAGTGGACTGGTAGAGGGACGTCACTGGAGGGGACACTGGGATGACATTGAGGACACTGGGAGGACACTGAGATGACACTGGGGGGACAGGGGCGCGCTGGGAGGGCATTGAGGGTGCTGGGAAGAAACTTCAGGGCAATGGGAAGCCTGGGAGGGCGCTGGGATGATGCTGGGGGGCAATGAGGACACTGAGATGACACTGGGGGACAGTTGGGTCAGTGGGATGGTGCTGGTGGACAGTGTTGACAGTGGAATGAAGCTGGGGCGTACTGGGCGCCCTGGGATGGCCCTGGGCGGCACTGGGGACACTGAGATGTCCCTGGGGAGAGTGGGATGGCGCTGGGGGGCGGCGGGCACCCTGGAATGGCGCTGGGGGGCATTGGGGACACTGAGATGTCCCTGGGGACAGCGGGATGGCGCTGGAGGGTACTGGGCGCCCTGGGATGGCGCTGGGGGGC